ATATTTCACGAGTGGCTGTAGCCAAGACTTAAATATGATAATTTTCATACCACAAGACATTACAATTTGAAAGACTTCTTAAATTTAGTGTATTGTCTGAATTGAGAAGAAAGTAGTCCGGCTAGACACCATTGAAAATACAGAATTTTATATTTAACTGCAGTGAAAAATAAATGTTTACAGTGAAAATACGGAAAATGAAAATACGCACTTTATTTCATTATTAATATTTCTCAATACTAGTACATGTATTTCATTTATAAGTGTATAAAAACGATGTTTTCATATCTACGAGTAGACACTTTGTACACTTTCTTTGCTACTATTTGTTATTTTATATATGTATTTATTCATTCATTACCTTGGTAGTAGTTTCGGAGTTTTCATATTTCCGATACATATCGCTTATGGTTTCAAGTCGTAATCCGTTTAATCGTACAATTACAGTTAATTACAGATAATTATATGCATGTGAGCTTAGCAAATTCATCTAGACGAATAAGGCAGTCATTTTACAGAAACCAAGAGGTTGTTATAACATCAAATATCATTTTGATGCACCAAAAAGTAAAAAAAAGAAAAACAAAGCTTTTTGTGTTTCTTTTTCAATTCAATATCATTTAAAAAATGTGGTTTTGAATCATCAATTTTATTCCATATTACTTTTCAGGATTCCGTTCAAACACAGTGTATAGGCTTGGTTTTTAATTGCAAATATTACAGCTTATAGTAACTTATTTCGAAGACAATACGAATAAACGCTCAAATTTATGTTAATTTTGAGAAAAGATATTGTCATCCTTTGCCATTTTGGAAATGTTTTTCAATCTGTATGATAAATTCATTAATTTGGATTTAAATACTTGTGTTTAAAATGAACACTCGCATTCTTATGCTTAGACCCATATTTACGGTCATCAATTTTAACCAGTAAACCAACAATTATACGTAACTGGACATTGAGTTGTATTGACCTAAATTTTTTTTTATATACTTTTTTTTAAACAGTTTTTGCCGAAAAACATTTTAGTTGAAATAGTGTATTAGTAATTTTTGAGAAATAGGGTTTAATCTTTTAAAAAAAAAACATAATTTCATTTTTTAAACAAAAATTTTTTTATTGATTTTTGATAAACGCAGTTTCACGTACAAAATATATCTGGAAAAGTTGTGAATCCATCGGAAAGCATTTAAATCAACCCAAAAATACCTTAAAACAATTTTAGACCACGTTTTGACCGAATCTGTTCATGAAAGGATAATGTAAAAAGTTTCGGCTTAAATTAAGAGGGAATTAAACCTTCGAAACTTACCATGAATTGCCACATTTGACTAAAGTGTAGTGTATGATATAAAATAAACGTTATCCGTACCAAATCTTTGAAGTAAAAACAACAGAATTATCAAAACTAAAAATTAAAACATAATTCATTTCAGCTAATGCAAGTCTAAAAAAAATCTTAACAGAATCTATGGGGTTGTATGATCACTGATCTGTATTTTTTTAACTTAGTCTACCTTGCTACCTTCATGCATATTTAACACATAAAATAGTTATAAAATTGTGAATTGTGAAAGTCAGTATGAACTGAAATAATGTTTGTTTGCGTGCATTTATAAATTGTTTCAAGATATCCAGATTTAGGCTAATTTAATTTCAATACCAATATTACCATGAAAATATTAAATCTATTAGAATATATACTTAGGTTTTCATTTTTGTTTTTAAGTGAAATTTAGTTGCTTAAAAAGTCAAATTCGGCAGGCAGGAAATGTTGGACAATTATCTATAAATTTTATTATCTATCAATTTTAAAATTCTGGAAAAGAAGAAACCCATCAGATGTAAAATAACAAAAACAAATGATTTAAAATAGCTTTTAATCGGAGGTTTCTTCTTCGGATTAATGGAGTTTGCAGTATACTATTTAATAAATCTAACTTTTCTTGTTTTTTTTTTTTTTTTTTTGTTTTTTTGTTTTTTGTTTATATAAACCAAAACCGCCATTACCCCTTTTTCTGCCCAGCATGCGGAAAAGCAATTAACCCATTAGCTTGATTGTTTGTATAAATAGGACTATATATTGAAGATTTGCCAAATAATGTAATGGTCCTGAACATGCCTCAAGCTTGAACCTGAAACATTTTCAATGCTGTATGCATTGGGTCTGACCTAAGGCGATGATTTTTTTACAAAACACTCATACGATGGTTTACTTTTTAAAAGTTTACAAGTATTTGTAACATTGGCGGTCTATTTTTGTGTTTATCGCTCTGTGCAAACTATTATACCTTTTAAGATTGGGCTCATAAACAATAATTTAATTATCACTGGGCATTTCGTGAACTTCTTTACATGAAATTAACAGCATTTTTTGAACACTAACTGGAACATTTTAGAATTCAATTTCTGTTTTATCATACAGTAGAGACAAGGCAATGAAAGGTTTTTTATGTCATGAAAATTAGGGTCGGTTGGGTTCAAGTCTAATTTATACCCTCCAGGTTTGGCAGAATGTAAGGGCCTTTTGGGAAAAACATTAACACATACATTTTAGCCTTATTCTGAAAAAAAAAACCAAAGAATAAAAGCCGTGTGTCATTAACAATATGAACAAACTATTTTAATGTGTAATCAATAAGATTGTCGTTATATTTTGATTACTGCCTCAGAAAATGTATACCTCTACATTGATCGTTATATACTATTATAAAAACACTTTTCCATTGATAAATATTTTTTTTAAAATAATCAGTAAGAAGACAATATACCTATTTATCAAAAGAACATTATTGAAAAGCCGGAACTTATTTTACATAGTCAAATATAAAATGGAGATCATCTTTTCAATCTACATTTTCCAAACCGTGAAACACGAGACGTGCATACCGTGACGATGATCTGTAATGTGAGGCTTTACACATTATTAGCAATTTGATATTGTGACAATTTCCCTTAAAATAATAAGGAACATTACAAATTAAATGCAGCAATCTCTAAATTAAATCAACAATCACAATTTGGCAAAGAACTCAGACTCAGTGAAGGTACACACTTTGAAGGTTATAAGTCATGGTGAAGCAATGTTTGGCGTATACAATATATTGCACTTTTTACTTTTTTTCATGTCAAATGACTAACACTCGACTGTTAAGTTTAGTGATATATAACCTTTCATTAAATAGGAGCTAGGGTTCTAAACAAAACATTCATTAGCATTTATTTCTTCATGCGGTTTTGTAGTCTTATTCAATATGTCTCCTTGAAAACGACCAATCTCTGATGGGATGTGTTAACCATTTCTACCTAAAGTCTTTATGGAATATCAAAAGCTGTAAGTGAGTAGTGAAAAACCAATTGCTCAGGCTTTTTTGAAATCGGAAACAAACCAATACGTTTAAGAGGTTAGCTTTGATCACGAGACAAGCAAATTCTCAAGTAACTAAAAATACTTTTATGTTTACTGTTAGAACATCATAATCGTACTCTGCATACGTTATTTCAGTGATTTATTATATATACGGGCAAATTATACTTATTTCATACTTTTTTAAAGTTAGAAAAATGAAAGTAAAACAAAACCTTATTTTTATGCTTTTCAGTGGATTACTGATTTATTCCGTGAATATTATATTTGATATTTCACAGTGAAAATTAACAAAATATAGTTTCACACTTTTCAATGTCAAAGCCAGGTCTATATAAATTTGCAGTAAGTAGCGGAAATACGCTCGGATGGTGCGACTTTTTCTTCGGCTAGAATTGTTTTTTTTTTTATTCAAACAAGCGATCATTCATATTTTTTAATAAGATGAATAGCATCATCGCCAATTAACGTTGATTGTCAAACTTATTTTTTCAGCCCAAGACTTCTTTTATTTTATTGGTTAAATTCGATTAAAAGAGGCTGACAGCGGGGAAAAACATATTTTTTTTAATTTTAAAGTTTATGTTAAGGGTATTTCGTTTTAACTTGTTTTAAGCATAAAATAAAAAGAACATTTGTTTGTTTGTTGTGTTGTACTTGCTACGCAACTCGTGTGAGAATACTGTCTTTAAAGCCCCACTCGATAAAATAAAATTTCATCTTACACACCAACAAACAAATATCCTCTATAAAAACAACACTCCTTTATAATGCAAACCTATTTTTGGGTGCCTACTTCTTAGGAAAAGGCCACTCCCAATATATTCCATGAATTCAAATTAAACTAATGCACCACTTTAGGTCATGTCTTCTTTAAATGCATTTGACCCTTGTTTTTTTCTGATATAAATAAGAAAAGTCTCGGCAGATGATAACGATACTCAGAAAAAAAAATACGTGTAAAAGAATAATATTAGACGCTTTATAACACTGAATAAAATATGTTAATGAAAATATAAATTTTGATACTGAATTTGTTGTATTCCTAGGAAAGGATTCGCATCAAATAATTTTTAACGGGGATTTACTGGCCAACTGAAACACGGTATGTAAGTTTGGTATAATAATGTTAAGCAAAAAATTTTTACTTTTTTTATAAGTGGGATATATGAAATCAAGACAGTTAGATACTGACATAAATTTATGTCAAATTAAGAAGCAGTGTTTTGCAAGAAATGTTTAAAACATTAAAATATCTAAAAACATGACGGAATGTTGTAATATGGCCCGCAAAGCAAAATAAGAATTACTTACAAATACAGGGCGCGGGAACATGCTTAAACGTTTTGTTATAAGTTTTGAAACTGAAAAAAAATGGAATCGTGGTATGGTTATTTCCTGATAACAAGCATAGATCCAAAAGCCATTTTAGGCTTAAGATATATACACTGTAATAATAAAGTCCTTACAAACACTATCTATTGTCAAATGTTACCTATAAATAGTCCTTTTTGAATATATGGAAAACTTCAGCACTTAGCACTTCATGACTAGTATTATTGACTCATGTTTGTCCAAAGAAAGGGAAAATATCTATTATTCACTAACTTTTCTTTGTATAATTTCAGTGAAATACAGAAACATTTCATTGGAATAAAGATTCATATTGGCATTTCAGAGTCAGCAAACTTTATATATATCATACATCAGTCGGAGTAAATTCGCAGTAGTTCATCTTTCAGACGAAAAGTGCACATTACTAAATATATTTCACACTTTAAGAAATTGTTTTTATTTGATAAATACGAAATAAGGTGTTTAAGATTTTTGCATGTGACATGTCACGCTTACTAAGCAAAACTGTACTCTTTACATTGCAAACTCTAGTTACTTTCTTATTGTTGTTATTTATGAAAACACATGTGCTAATATATGACAAACCTTGTACAAATATCGCTGAGGATTATATTCGTGTAATATGCAGTACTGATAAATACAAACAAAACACAAGTAGGAACGTGCATATTATGAAATCAGACATCAGTTCGGAGTCTGAGGCTGTGAAAAGACAATTAATTTCAGTCGCCAGTGAGATGACGTTAGAGAGAAACATGGTCCTTTTTACTGTGGTCAACGATGCGTATATGCCGTTTGTGAATAGTTGGTTGTGTAATACCAAAACCATGAATATTCATAAATCTGTTTTGATTGCAACCACTGATGCACTGACAAGGGAAACGCTAAAAACACGATGGCCTGAGATTAACGTAATATCTTTGGATATGGGGACCCTCAGCGGGAACCAAACGTTCGGCACAATTGGGTATATGAAACTTATCATCAAACGCGCAGAAATGGTTCTTGTATTACTCTTGGCAAATATAGATGTGTTCATATTTGAAGTAGATTGTGTTTGGCTAAGCAACGCTGTTTCATCTATATCATTCAAAGAACATCATGACATTATTGTTAACCCTGTTTCCGGTTCAAATTCAGAGACATTTGCAGGTGGATTCATTTTGCTACGAAGTACATGTAGAACAAAAATAGTCTGGCATAAAGTGACAGATGTAATGATGGTTCTGGGTGAGCGGGTAAAGTCCTTGCAAGATTTTGGTACATTTGAAGAGGAAAATGAACAAGAAGTTCTTGCAAGATTACTCAGGGACGGGTAAGTAGCAAATGCAGCCCGAAGACTTTACATGAAGTTTCTCTTAAAACTTATTTAATTTTCCTTTCAAAATCTCAATATGGTTTTTTAATCAATAATCATTTTATATGCTATGTAGGTAATAAATGTGCGGGTAAAATATTGAAATACATTTCTAACAAAACACTTTTCAAAACTGTTCTACATAAATATTGTAAATATCTTATTCAAACTGGTCACTCTCTGCAAGGGATTTCAATTTAATTTCTAAAGTTTCTAATTATATTTAATATGCCTGATTCTATTGTGAAATCATGCGCATGTGTGTATGTAAAGCTATTGTAAATTAAATTGAAGTATTGTAAAAATGTGTTCCTAAAAATTAACAAACGAAAAAAGTTACATTGTTGGCAAATATATATTGCAAGATATGAATATAACCGTTTCACTGTTTTATTTTATAATCACAGCCCCTTAATACATAAACTGCTTCCTTTTCTGTAATTTTCTATCATAATAAAATCATTATTTTATTATTACGTATCATGCAAACTGTATCCATTTGCTTCTATATTTCTATCAAAATTGAACCACTATTGCCAACATGATGAAAGAAATCCCTGCTTTGCTTATGCTTATTAATATTGACTGTTTCAGTAATATTGCTCGTTAATATGAGTGGAAATATATATTTTTTAAAACGTGAATATTTACGCATAATAAAAATGGTATATTACAAGGATTATGTTATTCAGTATACCTTTGTAAACAACTTTTTCAGGTACGGAAACGTAACTATCAAAATGTTACCACTGGAAATGTATGCTGACGGAAAATGGTACAATTTGAGCGAAGAAGACCGCTCAAAAACACGACCTGTTATTATAAACAACAACTGGATTGTTGGTAAGATTTCTTCTTTTAACACAAGCAAGATGATCGTATGTCTGGGTTATGCTATAATTACAAACGAATTTTCTTACATGTAAGCTTTGCAGCGCTAATACTCAAATTCATTAGTTGATTTTGCATTATCGCCCTTTAGTCTGCCTAGCGGCAACTTTTTCAAACAAATACAACCAATGCAGACAGTATTTTGCTGTCAAGGGTCTGCGGTTAAAACTTTGTATGACATTTCAAATCCAGATTACATCTTTCTTTGTTTTTAGATAACTAAACATGTTAATTATGACCAAAAAGGCTGTAAAGACCTTCTTATTTCATGCGAGAATTCATCTAAGCAAAATGTTGTTCCAGAAAAACCGATTTTTTAACGTCAAATGTCAACTGAACCAGAAATATTTTAATGTGTTATTTCTACCATTTCTGCCATTTCCATGTTTAGTACAAAATATAACAAATAAGAATCAAGATAGACGTTCAATAAGAATTTTGAAATGGGAGCAAGACAATAATTTCAGTTGAAGATATCTTTTTTAAATTTTTAATTAGTACTAGTATTACGCTATTTTAAATGTGTATTTAAGAACCTTGAATAAAAACTGAAGATGACTATCTATTTTTTTTTTATCTATTTGTTTCAATAATAATTCTCTTAATTAACGAAAGGTTTGTAATTGTTATTGAACGAGATGGTGTACAATGTACAAATCTAAATAAAGTATCTGTCCTTACTGTTTAATCATACAACGTTTAAAAAAAATTGGCTGCACTATTTTTGTTTTTCTTATTTGCCTTTGTAAAAATTTACTAACTTTTCCAAATTAGAACCTTCTACCTTAATGTAATGAATATTTTGAATTATAGGTAACAAAGCAAAGATGAAGAGAGCCAAAGAATGGAAGCATTGGTTCCTTCACGATGATTATCAAACATGTGACATGGAACGTGTCCATAGTGTGGTTCACTAGCACACACGTATTGGCATGGTCTTTTTCTAGAACAGAATATAGTGTTCGACACTTCGACCATGAACTTCTTTAAAAAGCAACATTAGAGGCTGATATATTTTAACACGTCTAAGAATATGATTACAGAAACATTTTAAACGAAATAAAAAAATAGAGGTCGCCGAGCTAATTTTCGAGTTTGAAATTGAACTTTGGCTTATTTCCAGGTCAGATAATTCACAAATAAGGTTTTTGTTACTTCATTTCATGTAGCCCTGCAAAATTTCAAGAATTAATGAAGAGCAATTTGTTTATTTTTCTTCTTTACCTGTACTTATTCATATATATTTTTATACCTATTTTTTTTTACAGAATTTTCAGTCTTTAATCAAACTGAAAGAAATGGAACAGAACTGTTTAATGGCATTGCATTATATATTATATTAAGATAAAGGTTTAAAAAAATTAAATTAATGTTTGACAAGCTTTTATGTTACTTATCGAAACATTTTCAAATTCAAGGGCAGATAACTAAAAAGGGAACTTGAAACCGCTAAATTTTCAACTGCTTCATTAAAATGTTCCTGTGATACTCTAAGATCATTCAAAGTTTAAATAAAATCTTTCATACGGTATTTATTATGCTTTAATGTCTATATATTACTTTAGCATACGCTTTAAAAAAATTAAATGATTAGGCAGAGGATTATTCCGCTAAATGTCGCACAATTGCCGCATATCTCTGCAAATTAGCCTCCTTATAAATAATAAAAATGCAATGGCATATTTTTAAAATTTGTCCTTCAATAAAAGGGCGGACAACACTTTGTCCCTTCCTTGTAAGAGAAGGGAAATCCTGTGATGCGTGTATGTGATCGCACGGTCACTTTTCTTACAACATGTCCTCGACGCATTTATGTGGTCGTATGGTCGAAATAAAATAAAATATAAAATAAATCTCAAATAAAATGACGTTTCCTAAGGTGTTTTGGTACGGAACAGTCTGGTGCAAAATCTTAATGTTCTTAAAAAAACTGTTGAAATCGTATTAAGGAGTTTTTAAGGGCAATTACGACGTGTTACTACTGGTTAATAATTTTATGAGTCTAATAAGAATCTTTTCACTTTTAATAGATTTTATGCCCACATAAAATAATTTATGTCATTGTTCTGTCCCTATTCTCATTACTGTACAGAATATTACGGGTCAGGTTTTAGCCATTACGGGTCAGGTTTTAGCCAGGTACGTCTTAGCCAATCGATATCAAGACTTAAATAACGTGATGTTAATTAACCAATGATTACATTAGATCTATCACAAAGAAATAATTTTGGCGAGGAATGATTCTCGCCTTTCTGTTTACTAAAATTTATCTATTTTTGAAGTCATAAGCTTTATTTAAAGTGAACTAATTACGTATTACTATGAACAGTTATCTTATTAATCTGCTGGAAGCGAATTTTAGGGACGGTGTCCCCGGTTTCATATTCAATTTCGTGACGAAAATGGCAATTCATTTCACGGCAACACGGGCAGGATATCGTAACAGGATACAATTTATCAAATGAACATTTCTACATTCGTTATTAAATTTCAGCTCATTTGAGACTCGGGAATTTAGACAGAACGATTGTAATCCACGATATGGATTTAATCTTCACAGACATATTTTTGTAGAAATGCAACTTTTTTGGGATAACTGGACCAACGGTACACGCTTTGAAAGTTTGAGACATCATCAGTCAGGAAACAGTTGTGCCGGCCTTTGGAACTAATGACATTTACAAATCAGAATTTATCCACAAAACGTTGCTCGTCATATTACAGATTTCGTAGATACCATTCTATTTACGAGTCCTGAAAGTTACCATTGTTCAACAGTTCAAGTTTTGTACAAATGCCAAAACAAACATAAACGATCATACTTATGGCGAATAAATGGTTCATGGTTGACATGTCTAAACAACATTTACATGTACCTGTTTACACCAGCTGGATGCCACCTGTTTACTCTGATCAGCTACGTCTCATCAATGAGATAAGAACAGCAGCTTGGTCGCCGCCCCGAAGCATTTCATTTGTCAAACAAAAGATAAGTATTTTGTTTACTATGTCTTTAAGTTATATTGTACTAAAGTCAGTATTTTACTGCATTGTATGCCTGCCCTGTTATACAAACTATGAACAGATGAAGTCTAGGTTTGTTGCTTTGTCTTAACAAATTAATATAATAAGCTTTGGTTATGACTCGAAGTAGATCTACTTAATGAATTTATCAGTGAGTAAATTTCTTTATATTTATAATATATAAGGTTATGCATTGCCGGGTTTGTTGTTGGTCATCAATTATTCTCCTAATGCTAATGTACAAGAATGCAGTATTAATCCGGCATAATTTTTCCTGGACACATAATTGAAGTTCTATATTAGTCATGTTAGTTATCACTTATTTCCAATTCATTTACAGTTCACACAAACTTCTAATTAGAGTAGATAATAGTACATGTTGATTTTCTGCTAGTCTACTATACATTTGTACACACATCATCATAGCAGTATTATTTAGCAACATGTTAAGTAACAGTCCAGATTGGAGCGATTTAGCCTTATTTCTTTTTAATTTTACATTTTTTTTGTTGACTCCAACTAAATACAGTTAGTGTGATTTAGTTTATAATTTCCATACATTCATGTTTCACTGTTTTAGTTTTTCAGTCATTGAATTTAAGATTCAAAATTACTGTTCTGAATTCTAATTTTGAATTTATTCTACTATACACTTAATCAAATTTTCTTAAAATTTACACTGACCTGAACTAATTTTCACTGGCCTTGGACCAGTGTTAAATTCTATGACTGGTTTTACAACAGTTTAAACACGATTACAACACAAGGTTAGTTTACAGTCCGTGTTAGTTGCATTTATACATATTCTAGTATACATGGCTTAATTATTAATATATAGTTTTATGTCTGCGTGACCGTGACTTAGTTAACATTTAGTACACATTTTCAACACAATATAGTTGACGATCCATGTGAGTGTGATTTTGTTTACAATTATACGCATCGTATGATAAATGACTTGGTTTATAATCTATGTCTGCTCGATAAAGTTTACAGTTCACACATAGTTTTATAATACATGTACATGTAAGTATGATTTTGTTTACAATTCGCACACATCCCATGATACATGGCTCCGGTTATAGACCATGTCTTAGTGATTTAGTTTACCGATGATACACATGGTTTAGTTTACACGCATATTTTCTACACATGATTTAGTTTACACTCCTGGTGAGTGTGATTGAGTTTAGAGTTCTCGCATATCCAATTATACATTGCTTAAGTTTCTAGACAATGTCTGCGTGATTTAGTTTACAGTTCACGCCTATTTTCTACACATGGTTTAGTTTACAGTCCATGTGAGTGTGATTTACTTTACAGTTCACACTTATCATATTATACATGGCTTAGTTTATAGTCCATGTCTGCGTGATTTCGTTTACAGTTCACACCTATTTCCACATGGCTTAGTTTACAGTCCATGTGAGTGTGCTTTAGTTTACAGTTCACACTTATCATATTATACATGGCTTAGTTTATAGTCCATGTCTGCGTGATTTAGTTTACAGTTCACGCCTATTTACACATGGTTTAGTTTACAGTCCATGTGAGTGTGATTCAGTTTATAGTTCACACATATCCTATTGTACATGGTTTAGTTTAAAGCCCATGTCTGCGTGATTTAATTTACAGTTCACACTTATTTTTTCACACATGGTTTAGTTTACAGTCAGTGCGAGTGTGATTTAGTTTATAGTTCACACATAATTATCCTATTATACATGGTTTAGTCTATGATCATGTCTGCTTGATATAGTTTTCAGTTCTCGCTTATTTTTTCACACATAGTTGAGTTTACATTCCGTGTGAGTTAGTTTACAGGTTCTATTATACATGGTTTAGTCTATAGTCCATGTTTGCATGATTATGCTTATGAATCACGCACAATGTAGTCAGAATTAATTTAACAATCAATTACATTTCATACATTTAGTCTACCTTAATGACAAAATAATTCATATTTTTCAGATGAAACGGCCACAAATTCTCCTTACACCTGTTATTCAGGTCCTCAACAAGGAAAAGCCAAACACCAAGAATGTCCAGTAAATTTACCCCCCAGTTTGGTTATTTCGATACAAATATATACATGCCATGTTTGTTATTATGTAACATTTGTCATGTTTGTTATTATGTAACATTTGTCATTTATGGCATTTAATAAATGCCCTATTTTATTCAACCTAAGTGTTGTGTTTTATCTCATACCAAACAAGTTCGTCTTGCCAGTTATATTTGCTTGACCTGGACAATACATAAAATGCCTGATTAAAACTTTGATTCTCCTAAATAGGAGAAATAAAAAGAATTTGTTACAATTTGTTACTTCTATTAACAACTAAATAGGAATTTTTACTCATAATTGGGAGAAATAAACCTAATAACAACTTTGATAAAAAGTTTTAAAAGCCTAATTTGTAGATATACAATTAATAATTTAAACTCTTATTATAAATAACTAGGTGTTGAAAAATAAAATCGTAATTAGGAGAAACGTTTTTTTACAAATAAGAATTTTATTTCTCCTTAATAGTGTTTAAAACTTCTAATTAATATGCAAAGTCCATATTAGTTTTTAGACATTAAAACGTCACACCAACACAGTAACGCGATTTTCCAGAACACCTTTGCTGCCCCTCTGTGCACAAACGGGAACTTGTGTAGACCTGCCGACGTACCATAAGCCAGCTCGTGATAGCTTCCTCACATAAAATATTCCCTAATGATTTTAACCCACAGCAGAGAGGCGCAAGCAGACGGACACTAGTCTACTTTTACATTTGAAATATATTTAAAACATGATTATTACATGTACCTTCCATGTAGCGTAGTTGCAGAATGGTTTTAACATTTTATTTGCAAACAAAAACTACACTCAAATGAATTTGGAGAGATAACATGTTGCTCAGGGTCGCCATTGAAATGGTACAATATATACCCAAATACAAATTCATATGTGGGAACCAAAATGATATTTCAATTAACTGGTTAATCCAAAAGTTATTGTGTGGAAACTTTCCATTGACGAAACAATTTGCAATGAAATATAGCGCAAAACACCCTAAGACAAAAATGAAAAAACGGAAATAAATTTGTTTGAACATAATTATTATATTAACATTCTCAAAGTAAATTCAATTGAAGAAGCCTTTCAAAGGTTTATTCCAATAATCTTGATTTCATAAATAATTTATCTGGAAAGGCCAATAATTCAAGTGTATGAATCTATATATCTAGATGCAAAAATTTTGTTTGGATTTAAAAAAAAGAATACTTCCAAAATGCTTGTATGAAATAAAAGTGGCAATAAATTGCCGTAAGGTAGAACGCGACACTTTGCGAACTTTCGAGTACAGCCTTGAAAATTGGCATAAAGAAAGTTGACCATATTTCCGATTAGATTCCATGGATTTTATTCCAATAGTTTCAGCCAATTTTTGTACACACGACGTCAAAGTTGACCATCAAAGTCATTGCCAATCGGAAAAAAACCCTACATAAAATAGCAAAATAATATTTTGCTCTGGAACATATTAATCTGTTTACGTACATTATTCATGTGTTAAATAATAGGGACAATATATGTTACTACTTTTTTCGGGAATCAACCATAAAATAATGGAACCAATATAATTTCACTGTTGATAAATTTTATAAAAATATTTCATAAGATATATAGAGGATATTCAAGTTTTTTCTATAAATACATGATTTATTTTCATCGAGTGGTATGAAAATGAATATTTCATGAGTGGCGGTAGCCACGAGTGAAATATGGTAATTTTCATGCCACAAGATGAAAATAAATCGTGAATTTATATAAAAAACTTGAATTTTCTGTTTATTATATACATTTCTCTCTTTTTTGACATTAAAATTTGAAAGACTTTCCCTTAAATTTTGTGTAGTGGCAGAATTTAAAAGAAAGTAGTCCGGCAAGACACCAGTGAAAATACGGAAAATATGTTTCACTGCAGTGAAAAATAAATTTTTACAGTGAAAATACGAAAAATGAAAATATGCATTTTATTTCATCAATATTTCTCAATATTTCATTTATAAGTATATAATAAATATTTATACCCTTTAAATATTATTCACGTCGTTTCAATGAAATAAACGTTTAAGCACAGTTTTTGTTAAAAAAATTCATGAAGAGGAAAAGAAACATAGGAGAAGAAAGAGAAAAATATTGAAGAGAAACTTTATTATTTTGAAAATTAAAAAAAAAAAAGTTTGTCAAGTTCATATCTTTTTTATCACCACATTGTTTAGATTTAATTTTAAACCAGTAATTTTACGCGCACAAATCACTTTCATTAACATTTGTTACTCATATTAAGAAATCAAAGCATTAATTTTATATGTACAAATTGATTAAGCAACTGTAATATTGATATAACTGTCTTTTTGCCATATGTTCCGATGTAAATAGTGATTCATAATGTTTACTCTTATTTCAATTTCAAATACAAAAGATACGTCCATTTTGAACTTTATTCCACAAATCACTTATATCGTTATGTTTGATTTGTTTGATATGAAAATTAGCAATTGAATCAATGTTAATCGATGATAATAAAAAATCTGTTATGTCCAATTTGTTCTTCATCAACCTTTGCTTCATGCACTTAACGAGTTTACATCATGACACAATCATTGACGGCAATAATAGCACGGTTTGATATCTGCTGACGTTTTATCCTGGCCAATCTTAGCCGGAAGTACCTCATAGGCTCGAAATAATTTTCATCTAACCACCCTTCCGAGCAATGCATTTTTTCGGTAACGGAATGCTTCACACCTCCGACAACAACATTCCTGGTCATTACCATCTGATTACTTGTAGCACGAATTTTATAAAACTCATTTTTGCAGCCGCTCCAGTCTTTGAGCACAAACAAACCTTTCATCAATAGGTCAGATGGTTTTAATTTGTCACATGTCGACACCAGCATATCAACTTCGTCATCGCTCAAACGACGATAATTTTTGTAATCCTTTAACCTCCTTATTGCAATCGTGTCTAACTCGTCATCGTCATCATCATTTATCAAATAGAGAACACAGCTGAAGTAGTACATGAGCCGAGCTCTTGGGTCATCTGGCACGGTTGTTGAAGATCCTGTGTTTTCAATCTGTACTCGAGTCCTACCAAAAGCTGCTGCCATCTCGGTGATAATTTGATTATTTGATACGTTTAAACCAAAGTCGAACAACTAACTGATGAGTTTATACAATTTTTTATGTTTATCTTTCAAAGCAGTATTTATATATAGACGTAAGTCTAATAAATAATTACCGTAATTATTCACATTAATACCTTAAGTACACCTTGTAATAGAGACGTTTTCTATTAGCAAATGTGACTAATACTTTCATTAAAGTAATTTATAAAATGATATCTGAATTAAAGGTAAAATGACAAAATGTTTAATTTGAATTATTATAACATTTTCTTCATTTTGTCAGTACTCTTTCAAGTTTTCAGTACTATTTGTGTTACAATCGTGTTTAACTGGTAACATTTTATGATAATAAAAGAAGATACTGGCCTAAACAATGAAATATTGCCGATTTAGTGATTTACTCTCTCAGTTGCTTGAGCTGTATTCTAAAGATTTGTAACATAATCCTTATATTCATCTGTGTTTGCCATTCAAATCAAAACAAAGACAGTACCAGCAATTTGTTTGTTTCTCTGTCCGTTTATAAGGTAGCACTAAGGTAACACTATCAAGCCGGTGCTACGGATGGGCGTGAGGGATGTTGCACTTATTCATTATCCCTCATGAACAGACTCAATCAAAACGAGACTGCAATTTTCATGTAATTTTGTTGTGATTCATGCTTCCGAGGGATCACATTGATTCCAGATTTTAATGAATTTTTGGTCATATTCGGTGGTCGGTTTCCTGGATAACTAACCAGTTTATTATTAATGTCTCCTCAAGTGACCGAGTACTAATGGTGGGATTCAAAGCAAATACATGCAAAGTTTACCAATAACCAAATTGTATTTTAACGTTATTACTAAACATTAATCTCCAGTAAAAACAGACAATTTGTAACAATCATCTAATGACTATCATATAACGGTTATTATATATAGTTAAAATCCGCCTTTACAAAATATAATTTCTGAAAATTGGAATAAAACCAGAGTGTTATGTGATGTACCTGTTTGTGAAGAAAAATATTTAGTTTTAAAACATTCGAAAAGACCAAAACCACATTTTGTTGCTGACAAGCAATAGAAAAAAGTTCGGAGATTGGAATAATTGTGTTTTATATGGTTAATAGTAAAACAACACAAAATATATCTCAAAATACAGCCGACTACTTTCTCAAATGAGTTTGCATCAGATTTTGTTTTAGTATAACACTGATCATGAATTTCTTTTTAATACATTATTATGTAGAAAAGAAGTAAATAAGACGATATAAAAGCTCAAATAGTTTATTACATGTATATTTATCATACTATGATACTGACTTATTAAATTCTTAGTAAAGAAGTAAAATATGTTATACTTCCTTCTAGCAAACGTGATATGTAAACTAAGATAATAGAAACACGTGCAGGTAGATGTTCAGTTCAAAATTCACTTTGATAATGAAGTCATGTATAGTGTCTTACATTTGAATTTATTTAGGAAAGTGTTCATAAACGAATAAAATCTTTATATAAACCCTATACAATCTGTTTTGTATGGCAATTTGTTTCTGTTACTTCTAGACAGAAAATAAATAATAAGCAAATGAGTGTTAATCAAAGGTCAGAAATCAGCATTATTTCTTTATATGATATAAAACTTTTTCACGCGTGTGTTTGATTTAAGTTTTATTCGTCACATAAGAACATATATACATACATGACATTTTCAATTAATACAAAAATAGGATTAGACTGGAAGCAACCTAATGCTGATTGAAGTCTTTTCCAGTAGTATTTAGCACAAGATAAAGCGAGTAACGCGTAAGCTTGATTTTGCATACCCTCTTTGCACTTTACTGAATAGGTACATGTACTATGAAACAAGACTTTCCGAAATATATCACATAAAATACCTGTCCAGAATTTATTGGCTGAATATAGACATAGACAGAATAAAGGGACAGACCGATTCTTGTATATTATTTAGAAACATTTAGTATCCGATGATTCGTCTCAAATTTGAGTGAAAATAATAAAGTAAAAGAAAACATTTACGTTGTGAAAATATTATATCTTCATCGTTATAAACGAGTACATTGTACATGTTTTACCTTGAAGTTTGTATCATGACATGAAGATGATAATTTATAATACATATTTTTTTTTTGTATTTGACATTGACATTTTATCTTTGTTATAATAAGATACCTAGTTATTTGATAAACAAATACATACCTAGAAAGGAAGAAAATAAGAAATGGCGATATGCTTCCTGTTATTTAAATACTGTATTTAAACTAAAATGATACTAAGGTGCAAAATGATAGGAGCAACTGCAGTATGACAAAAGTTTTGTAAAATTTTGGCTTTAAAATTGGCTGTCAATGACGGGAGTTATGAGAAGATTCTCTATTCAAAATAGGTCATATATGGGACTATAGAAGACATAAAACACAAAGGAGGCAGATATTATCTTAAGCAACATATATCATTTACGGTGTATGAGTGTATAAAGAACACCACTTAAAAGAGACAAAAAGCGAGACCAAGCTATCTTTTTAGCCATTTTCTAAAGATACCTTCAAATAATAATACGGTGTATATATCGTTAACACTTTGTTATTGAAAAAAGAAAAAAAAAGAGAAAAAGTGTCAGTCAATGACCATTCATTAAACAACACCATGTGTATTGTATGTTCAAATATGACTAAATTTCAGATTTACTTAAGTTATTTCTTGCATGTTAATCAGTTTCAGTTTTTATTAAACCAAGGCATATAATATACAAGTGGTTATATAACAAACAAACGAACAGAAATATAACAGTCAAAAATCACTGATATCACAATAAAAGAATACATTTAGGACTAGGTAAATAAACAAAAAAGGAGAACATATTGTTCATTTCAACTACTGAATTCAATACAACATGTGGGAACGGAGAATGAGAAGTATTAATTATCTAAATTTTAACATAATGTTTTTTACAAAATAAAGATAATTTTAGTAGAATCTTTTTATCACAACTTTTCATTAATCTGTCAAGTTTAAAAATATTGGGATGAATATAAAACCTGGGAAGAAGAGATTTATGTCTTATGTCATTATTAAAGTACGAACATTCAAATAAGTAGTAAAATTCATCACCAATAGCTTGATACGGACATAAGGAACAGAGCTTATTATTATGATCAATTGCCAAATGTCTGCCTTTTTCAATTGGTAATAGGTGATTCATTGTTCTAAATTTACATAAATATTTGCCTATATCAAATGGAAGTACATCTAGATACTTTTCAAAACAATGAGTATTTTATATGCACGATACACTAAGCACTTAGAAGATGTATCAATAATACTATGCCAATCTTGTAAAAATTGATCATGTAGTCTAAGCTTCACAATATATTTTAAGTGATTAATATTATCTATCTTCTGTAATTGAAAATATTCTGACATACCAAGATTCTTTCACAAAATTTATCCAGTTGGAATTAGCAATATTCCTAGAGGACATGGACAACATTGTTTTCTACAGAAGTTTACATAGAGGATATTGTTTGTTTGTGTGTAAGATGAAATTATATTTCATCGAGTGAGCTTAAAAAACAGTATTCTTACGAGTGGGGTGG